TTTAGGATTTGGCTATTATTAGAAAAAATTAAGTCATATACTCTAGATATATCATTTTATGATTTTTTTTTAAATATTTATTTTAAAATTTTCTAATTAATTATCTTAAATGAATCTAGATAGCAAAATCTTCAGTCTCTCAATTTAACTTTAAAGCTTTTAATCAAATTTATTTTTTACTAGTGAGTTATTTAACCAAGTTTTCAAAATTTTGGAGTAACCATTTACTTTCCTTGATTCTCATGTTCTTGATACTATTTATCTACATCTCTTCTCTTAGGATTCCATTTATATATTGAATATCCTCTAGGTTTTATTCCATAAGATCCATGGAAGTATACCTTCAATGAATTTGCTTTGATTCAAATTATCGAATCAAAGAATGTTATTAAAGCCAAAGAAACATTCCTATATTAAAGCAAATTTTGTAGCCAAACGATAAATATGAGTGGTATTCTCAAGAATCTCTGCCGCAGCTCTATTTGATATTATGGTTTCATAAGTGAGTTCCAAAGCTAAGTCATATGCCTTATTGGAAGATTTTATTCTGATTTTTAAATGATTGCAAAGTAGAGTGATTTAGTTATTTTTGTAAAACCACATTGTTTGTCACAAGGAACCTTTACAAAAGTTCTTTTTTGAAAATCATGCTAAGAACCTAATATTAAATTTGATTGCATAAACTCTAAATGAGAAAACATGTAAATCAAAAGCACAGAAAGTCTTTTATTAATTTTCGAGTTTCTTTTTAAACTTTCATATGTTATGATAAATTTGATTTATTTTTTTAAATATGATAAATTTCCATATTTATTAACAACCCCACAGGTTCATGAATATAATAATATCAAAATCAGCTTTTGAGATATTCTTCATAAAGTTCCATTAAGGCTCTTGTTTTCTCATTTAGGGTTCTCCCTTCCATTTCATGTATTACCAAATTGTTATATGCTTTCCTTTATTGTTGATATGTCATTTTTCGTATATTCATATTCATGAATGGATTAATTTTTGTTTTATCCATTTTTCTTTTCTCTTTAAATGTTGCTTTCATTTTGTCTTCCCTACTTATTCCCTTTATTTCTCCATTTTCTAGGAGATTATATTGTCTAATGGATCTTCATCATACACCTACAGATTTTCATTTCTTAATTTCTAGGTCTAGTATTTTTGTAGAATATTTTTATAAACCAATCTTCAGATATATATAATTGAAGAGCCATTTAATAACTGCTTTTCACCTAAAGAGCTTAAATTAGAAATTTATGGAAAAGTGAAATATAAGTGACCCGGATTTAATGTCATTATTCATTTGGTTTAGTAAATAAAGCAGATTGGTAATTGCATCATAAAAGAACTATATGGTATACATGAAATTAAAAGTTAAAAGCATTGGAAGTAAACAATCCTTGATCGAAAAATATCAAGGTATTAAGGGGTTTAGGTAAAGTTATGTTTGCTTTTTAATAGATGAATTCTGCAAAATATACGACCTAAAAGAAAGACTTTAGGTTTGAGAGATCTAGAGTCAATGCCTATAAATGCGGATTCAATATAGAGATTCTCTTTTAGTGAACCACACATAACTATGCTTGCTTTAAAAAATACAATTATTATTTGAAAAATTAATAAGTTAATTTTCACAAATAATAATACTATTTTAAGAGATATATTTCTAAACAGAATGAACAGTGAAGATATTTGTCTTAATGAACTTTATAATTCAACCGAGATATATTCAAGTAATCGTGTTATTTAAACGTGAAACTTAGACTAAACTAGATTGTGTTCACCCTGCTAAAGATTAATAATTTTAATAATAATAATTTAGAATAATTGCAGTATAGGGTCCAGAATTAAAACATTTTAAAGAAACTTTCGATCTTTTCATTAATCAACCGCCAAAATTAAGTTCAAAAAGTATTAATCTTAATATTCAAATTATGGTTTGATAGTATCTAAATTTTTAATCATCTTCTGATGTATTTTATTTCAATTACAATTAATTTTAAATATCTGATGTATGAAACTTGATATTGCCTAAATGAGAATTAAAACTGTGATCAAAAACTAGATTATTCTTCATTCATTTTTATCTCTGTTATCTTAAATTTCAATAGATTTATTCATCAAATAATTTATTTTTACTTTAATAAAAATTCGAATTATAAAGTGAGATTAGGAGAGTAAACTAAATCTATTATAATAATTCAAAAAGTAATTATAAAAGTCATAATTGATAAAAATATTAGATTTACAATCAAGGCTGTATTCAACAGTTTAAATATGATTGGTATGTTATTTTGTTATTCTTAAAATTTTTATGATTCTAAAAATCTATTGAATTATTAAACGAGAAGATTTATTAAGATACATCAATAATGATTATATCAAAGCTGATAAATACTAATTCTAATTTTCTGAAATTTTAAATCAATAGTATAAAAAAAATCATTCTTTTATTGAAATATTACTTTAATGGAAAAATGGTATAGAAAAATCGAAAGATTAAAACTAATAAAGAGATTAAATAATTTAATGGAATTGATTAGTTGCTAAAAGAACTTCAATAAATATTGATTCTATATTTGATAAGATATAAAGAATATTCTATCAAAGTTTGAGTTAGGTATAAAGACTTATATGTCAGATTGAGTCAAAATCACCTTTTGGATGACATAGAAAAATTATCATAATGTTAAGAATATTAAAATAAATTTAAAATGATTTAAGATATGAAATTGCATAAAGATTAAAAATCTAATAATTTTATATAATTTCTTTTGCAATTAACTAATAGATAGAATAAATGAATTAAAATCAATTTAATACTAAATCAATTCATTTATTGAAAGATTAAACGAGATTAAACGAGAATCAATTGATTTTAATAAAATAATAGAATAAAAAATATTAAATAGGTTATGTGTTATGTGTTATCCTTTAGTTTTAATTTTCATAAAAAGTGTTCAGTGAAATAATTTAATTAATATGTAAAGATTGAAGATATTAAGAATGAAGATAAGTATTGATTGAACGATTTACATAATTTTAGCACTTATTATTGTAACATCAAAGGATAAATAGTGTAGAAATTTGAGAATATCTGCACAAAGTTTAAAGGAAGAAATTTAATTGAAATGGTGCCTAAAAAATTGTTAAAATATTACTCATGTGCTATTTCTAAATAATTTAATATAAGTATTATTATTGAATATATCAAAATTTAGCAAAGATATTATTTTGAATTAATAAGAAAATTTATTAAAAAACTTAAAAAATGAAATGTTAAATTTCTCAAATTAACAATANATGTATGAAACTTGATATTGCCTAAATGAGAATTAAAACTGTGATCAAAAACTAGATTATTCTTCATTCATTTTTATCTCTGTTATCTTAAATTTCAATAGATTTATTCATCAAATAATTTATTTTTACTTTAATAAAAATTCGAATTATAAAGTGAGATTAGGAGAGTAAACTAAATCTATTATAATAATTCAAAAAGTAATTATAAAAGTCATAATTGATAAAAATATTAGATTTACAATCAAGGCTGTATTCAACAGTTTAAATATGATTGGTATGTTATTTTGTTATTCTTAAAATTTTTATGATTCTAAAAATCTATTGAATTATTAAACGAGAAGATTTATTAAGATACATCAATAATGATTATATCAAAGCTGATAAATACTAATTCTAATTTTCTGAAATTTTAAATCAATAGTATAAAAAAAATCATTCTTTTATTGAAATATTACTTTAATGGAAAAATGGTATAGAAAAATCGAAAGATTAAAACTAATAAAGAGATTAAATAATTTAATGGAATTGATTAGTTGCTAAAAGAACTTCAATAAATATTGATTCTATATTTGATAAGATATAAAGAATATTCTATCAAAGTTTGAGTTAGGTATAAAGACTTATATGTCAGATTGAGTCAAAATCACCTTTTGGATGACATAGAAAAATTATCATAATGTTAAGAATATTAAAATAAATTTAAAATGATTTAAGATATGAAATTGCATAAAGATTAAAAATCTAATAATTTTATATAATTTCTTTTGCAATTAACTAATAGATAGAATAAATGAATTAAAATCAATTTAATACTAAATCAATTCATTTACTGACAAAAAATAAAATAAATCAAATTATTCATTAATTAAATTAAATTTATAAATTTAAACAAGCATAAAATTAATAATGAAAAATTGATTAAATTATGATGAAAAAATTTATCCAAGTATATTGAAAGATTAAACGAGATTAAACGAGAATCAATTGATTTTAATAAAATAATAGAATAAAAAATATTAAATAGGTTATGTGTTATGTGTTATCCTTTAGTTTTAATTTTCATAAAAAGTGTTCAGTGAAATAATTTAATTAATATGTAAAGATTGAAGATATTAAGAATGAAGATAAGTATTGATTGAACGATTTACATAATTTTAGCACTTATTATTGTAACATCAAAGGATAAATAGTGTAGAAATTTGAGAATATCTGCACAAAGTTTAAAGGAAGAAATTTAATTGAAATGGTGCCTAAAAAATTGTTAAAATATTACTCATGTGCTATTTCTAAATAATTTAATATAAGTATTATTATTGAATATATCAAAATTTAGCAAAGATATTATTTTGAATTAATAAGAAAATTTATTAAAAAACTTAAAAAATGAAATGTTAAATTTCTCAAATTAACAATAATGTATTTTAAATATTGACAACTTTGACAAGTTGCTTGTTATCATGTCTTTTACAGTTTTAAAATCTAATCTTACTAAAACTATTAACTTTCATATTTATACTAATCTGATAAAAATTAATGTATATTTATTAGATTAATAATTATGTGACACTTTACCAATTAAAATTGTTTTCATCTAATGTTGAGCTCAACATAAATTTTATTTATTCGACTATGATGGATGAAGAATAAATAAAATGTTTGATTGGAATTTATTCATTATTTTAAGACTATCAAAAATGATTTTATATATAACAATTCTTATAAAAATTGTGATCGGCTAAAAATGAAAAACACTAAAATAAAAAGCTTAATAAACTAAAGGCACATCCATGACAATCTTATTTATTTTTTAATATGAGATATTAATATACATTCAATTTTATACAAAAATTGTAAAGAATAAATACATGAGAGGAAGGCAAAGATACAATATCCTCTCTGCTATAGGAAGTTTGCCTTGAAACAAATAAACTGCTTAAATATCTTTGAAATTACCCTAGTGCCTAAGATAATAAGGAGGTTAATTTTTTCATTTAAGACTACTAAATTTGAGATTAAGTCTTCCTAAACAGATATTAACATTAAAATGCATATTTAATTACTAAATTGTAAAATCTAAAGCTTTTGTTAAGGTTGCTTTCTTCAGCTGAAAAAATTGCAAAAATGAATGGATTAACTACTGTATAATTTAGTAATTTATTTTGAAAGATGCCTTAAACATATATATATGACCTGGATATACAATTTTCTTCTTAACTCTTTCTAGCCAAAGTCTAAATCTTACCTTGTACTTTAAGTGTGTTCCATGTCAATAATCTCTTAACAGTTGTACCCTTTAAAATATAGGAAACAGTAAATAAAAATAATGATAAAATAACTCCACCCTAAACAATAGGAAAGCGTACTCAAATAATGAAATTAACTAAAATCAACTGAAATTTATTTACAAATGTAGTACTATGAAAGTTGTTCTTTTATTAGCAAATTTTTATTAAAAACAAATTTCCTATTGCTTTACATTTACATAAGAGATGTGTCTTTTGATTCTCAATTCCTTCAATTTCTAAATTGCAAGTTTCAAACATATTTTCAGATATATGATTAAAACGATAATAAATATATTCAGTAGTTACCACTATTTTAAATATAGACAAAATGATTGTAATCTATCTCGAAATCTGATCTATTTATAATAACTTTGAGCATATTTTTGTAAGTCTATGAAAGATTATAGTAGTTGTACTAACTATCTATATTACTTCTATATGAATGTTATTAAATTATCTAAGTAATCATTCTGAATTGAAAAATCGATATTATATTTAGATTTCGTAAGTTGTTACAATTATAAATTCAACATCATTCATGAAATCGACAAACCTAACCATTTACTTCGACACTGTCACCAATATGCATTGTAATATTATCAATTAATTAAATTAATTTTTCAGATGTATTTGTTATTTGCTCTTAATTCTCTAAAGAGGTTCCATTCTAAGTAATAATCACCAATTAATAATGAATTATTTGTATATTGAGTATTATATTATTGTAATACTACATAGAATACAATTAATACAATTAATACAATCATAATAAAATTTGTAAAATCTATATTACACTTTAATCATCATAATTAAGTATCAATAATTCGAGATTTTCCTTCTCCTAACTTACCTTCAAATTTATTCAATTATAGATTTAATTCTCAAATTGTTATGAATATATTACCAAGGTGCTGTTTCTCTAAAAGCGTACTTAATTAATAAAATAAATCCAGAAAACATTAATTAAACAAAAAAGAAGAGATGTGACATTATTGTAAAATTCACTTTGCCATTTTATTCTAAAAATCTCATTGAAGTGTTTGAAGTCTACTATTTTATTTTTACTTTTTTTTCTAGATTAATTGCTTAATGGGCGAATAATTTTTCATAAATATCATCTGAATTAATTCTTAATTCAACATGTGTTAATAACTCATCCTTAAATTGTGCAATTTAATTCATCTTAATAATCAACCTTTATTTCAAATATCCTTGCAATTTTTTCCCCTACACTTAATTGATCTATAGTTTAATTGGTGCATACGACTTAGTTCTTCGACATGTTTAAGCTCTTTTGAATATTTGTAATAGATCCTCTTTAATCCATGATCTAGAATATAGCATTAATTTTTAGATTTGGAAATATTCAGTTAAAATATTCGATTAAAAATAGCATTCTGAAAACTTGCTTTATCGATATATATTAATTCCACTTCAAATCTGAGCACTATTAGATTAATAACTGAAATTATTAAAGTATCTCAAATGAAAACTTACTTAATGGTATTCTTAGTAGATTAAAAAGCAAGGCTAAATTACATTTTTTAATAAATTACTAATTATTTATGCTGATTTTCATATTACTAATATTATTATTGTACTTCAAATTCAGGGTTATTTCGATGTCATAGTCTTTTCCTAAATATAAGGAATGAATTATTTATCTTATAATCTGGTTCATTCTTGAGAATTTTCATAATTATTAGAACATTTACATAATTTATAATGATATTTATGTGTTTGATTCAAAAATTACTGATGGAATATGATAAATTTAAGGGCATATAAACAGCAAATAAGAAATCTGAAAGTTAGGAAACAATTGCTTTTAAGTCTAATTTGCACATGAAAGATTTTTTAGTAATCAGTACTGCTGTGGCCCATAAGTTATGAGAAAAATTGCTTAATTTTAAATCCTAATTTAAATTTGGAGTCTGCTTCTATGATGTTCGATACGAGCAATTTAGTCGAATCACTTAAAAGCTTTAATGCATAATTTTCAGTCTACTATTGGCAGAACTTAGTTTGTGGAAATAGTTACTTGCCCACACTTAAAGATACAAGTTTGCTATGAAGTAAATACAATTTGTACATAAGATTTTACAAAAGTAGCATTCTTTTGCCTGTATACTCATCTTACTCTTAAGTTAGTTATTTAATATTTAGTAAAAGAAAGTAGACTGATTGAGACTTTATGGGGAAAAAAATTTTTTCCATTGTCAAACTACTTTAAAATAACCCTGGACCATAAATTTTACCAATCCCTCCTCAACATTCAGCTCATATAAAATCTCAGTTTTTCAAATTTGAAAATCAGCCTGTAGCCTCTACCTTGACAATTAATCATATTCGAATCAATTTAAATGAACATCAAGATGAATTCTTCTTTTGTATGATGATTCTACTATTTGGAAACCTAATTATGATTTGTTCTGGAAGTTGTAAACTTCCAACAGATAATTCATCTTATTTAAGTCAAAGATGCTCAAGGTATTAATCACTAAGGAGAAAAACCTCACATAAAATTAAATTAAAAATTAGTAATTCTTAACCATTTATTTATAGAAGGAATTTTTGCTGTTTGCACAATCACCTTACAGAATCAATGAATTGTTTAAATAAATAAAACTCCGTAAATAACTAAGCACTATTTCCTTTGATGATTTATCAAAGTGCTAAGGCTTTAATCAAGTCGGTTATAGCTTCACTTCTAACGCCTAATACAATTTTTAGGTTAAATTGCTGTGATTATAGAATTTATTCCTTCTATTACTTTCTCTTATAATCATTTGATTTGAAAGGCATCTATGAATCTCTAAGATTTAGAATTATGTCTTCAACTTTAAATTTCAGTTCTAATATCCAAGCTCATATGTGTGATACAGATTATAATCAGATAACTTTCAAATAGGCAAGAATAGAAATCTTTAGAATTAAACTCAAGTTTTTCACTCTAATTATGTAATAATAATTAAAATTACTTTTGCTAATTTTCCAACCTAACTTCCGTTCTTCACTACTTGTGTTATTAAAGGTCATGGTCTATTCTTAAGCCAGATTTAATCTATTTCTTAAATCATCAATTATACCACAACTTCCCTCTATCTAAGGGTGCATAGGTTAACCGTTTAGATGTTTTTATTCAAAATATACCGAACCTCTATTTGAAACCATCCAGTATTACATCTGAATCATTTTAATAATTTTTTCCCTATATTTGTATTATATACAACTTTCTGACTAAGTTATTCTTTTAACAATTTATATCATCCAACATTTCAAATTTTAAGTGATTGTTTTCTTGTGAGGTCATATTCTCTCTATATTTAAATTACATCTTACTCAGTGGCTTATACCTCAGAAGTGCATAGCCAATCCCAGATTATTATTTTGAATCTTTTCTGCATAAATATTGAAAATTAGTTTTTATTATCTTAATTGGTGAAATTGAATAGGAGTGATTGAAATAATATCGCAAAAGGTCAAGTGTGAGAATAATTATTAATTCAACAAGTAAGAATGTGCTAAATGTAAAACATTTTCAATTTTCTATATGCCTTCTTAATATGTTACTTATCAAAATTTAATAACTTAGTTAAAAAGATAATAAAAATTCATCGCTAGGTTTTTTCTCTATGAATGTGCATAAGTAAATTGTTTTTAGAAATAATGTATCAAATTGTAAAAGGATTGTGATTTGAAGTGCACCCCTCAATACATAAAACTCAATGAATCAATCACCCAAATTTAAAGTAGATGTCGTAAAAGTATGGATATCAGTGTTTCACCTGTCTCAAATGAAAACCCTTCAAAAAGTTAAAAAAAGTACAAGAAGGATGCATTTTAATAGTAAATTGACTTTTCACTAAATAGTTTTAGCCAATAAAGATTATTTCAATATTATATTCATTTAAGAACTAACTTTTGGAAATTTGAATTCACCTCCAGGTACTGGGAGTTTAAAAAGAAGAAAGAGTTTAATAAAACTATGAAACAATAACAATATTAATTTAGGAGCAGATGGGAGGATCTACATTATCTTTATTCAAATTAATAAATTACTTGTTTAAAATCCTTAGGTTAATAAATTAAAGAATATATGAAGAAAATTTTCTCAAAGTTTCAGATTTATTGAACTTGAAATGTTGATTTTTTAATTTTCAAATCCAATTTTTTAAACTAGCGGTTTTGCATAAAGTTATATCTATTATAATTTATTATCTAAATTTTTATGTGTCTTAAATAAATTTACTATTAGATTTATGCAAAAATTATTTAACAAGAAGTCTGTTTAGAGCTTCCTATTACCGAATTATATTATAATGTTGCTAAATCTATATCCAGATATTGGAAACTTATAATCATTAACTTGAATTTAGAAAGATTCTTTACCTTAAATTTATCTATTTTTAAGTAAACTTTAATTCGACTTTTTAAATCGCAGACTTTAATCTATTTTTCAAACACTGTAAAGGCTATATCAACTTAATAATTTAGAAAACCAAATATTAATGGGTTTAGTTATTTTCAAATCTTTGATATACAAAATTTATTATGATTACAAACTATAAAAATTTCGAAAACTAGATTTATATATCTAACCAAAATTTTCGAATTGCTATTCTGTTGTCATATTACCCAAAAATTCATTTATTTCAAATTTTAATCCTAGGTGAATTATTTGTGTTGGAAAATATTAAGTGGATTCCACTATCTATTAATTGGTTTTAAAGATGTATGTGATAATAATCCATTTTCATAAAGATTTATTGTTTATGGAGACCTATTGGAATCCTGAATTCAGACTCAAAGTGCTGTCATAATAAATAGTTTCCGTACCTAACTATTTTAATGAATCATTACTACTCTCCAAAGAATCTGTACTTCTTTTCATCAATATTAAGAAGGTCATATCAAGTTTAAAATAAATTATATTCTTATTGATAATATTTTCGATAAGACTTTGTATTTTAAAATAAACTGTAAAATTAATGAATTCTTTGTTTTCTATGTAACCTCCTATATCATAATTAAATTTACAGAATGCAGTGTTTTTAATTTAATATTAAGTATAATACATTAATACTTTAGGATAAAAATTTATAAAATGATTTAAAAATAATTGATATATAATAGTAAATTTCTGTTATATAAGTTGGACAATGGCTACACTTTTGAAGAAGTTTTTTAGTGATTAATTTATGTAATTTTAATAATTTTTCTAATGGTTATTGATTGTTTATTTAAATTATATTAATAATTCAATATTGAAATAATATAATAATTACAATTAATATTATTAATATTCTGTAGTTCTTTTTCAATAAATATATTATTCACCTATTATTATTCCTGTTAATCATAAGAATGTACTTAATTTTTCAAAATAAATATGCTATTAATTTACAATAGGCCAAGTATATAATTCATTTTATATTTAAGTTACTAAAGTAGATTGTCGCTTCCTCTTTAATGAAATCCAAGAATTTATGCTTTTTGTGGTCTCCTTACTTATCCATCCACCATAATTTTGGAAATTAAATGTTAATTTATATATATATTATCTTGCGAATATAAAATTTTATTTCATTTAGTTCTAATTTAAATCTCAATCCTAGAGATTTTCAAAATAAATAATTAAAAATGAAATCAAAGTCATAGAAAAAGCTCGTATGTGTAGAACCAATTGATGAAGCAAAAACATAAGAGCTGGTCGTTTATTATTGGAATTATGGATGGGGGAAACATATGAAGATCAATATTCAAATAGAAGTTAGTTAAGATAATTATATATTATATTATAAAGATGGAGCACTCTTAAAAAAGTAATTTATCAATTAGTTCTATATAGGGATGAGCATAAACCACAATATGAGATTATTAAAAATTGGTTTTAGATCTAAAATTTGCGTTTTATTGGCGATTACCAAAATTTCAAAAAATTTGGTAAATGGATTGCGATTTTCGATGGCATTGAATTAGGTGCTGGTTANTATTTGTGTTGGAAAATATTAAGTGGATTCCACTATCTATTAATTGGTTTTAAAGATGTATGTGATAATAATCCATTTTCATAAAGATTTATTGTTTATGGAGACCTATTGGAATCCTGAATTCAGACTCAAAGTGCTGTCATAATAAATAGTTTCCGTACCTAACTATTTTAATGAATCATTACTACTCTCCAAAGAATCTGTACTTCTTTTCATCAATATTAAGAAGGTCATATCAAGTTTAAAATAAATTATATTCTTATTGATAATATTTTCGATAAGACTTTGTATTTTAAAATAAACTGTAAAATTAATGAATTCTTTGTTTTCTATGTAACCTCCTATATCATAATTAAATTTACAGAATGCAGTGTTTTTAATTTAATATTAAGTATAATACATTAATACTTTAGGATAAAAATTTATAAAATGATTTAAAAATAATTGATATATAATAGTAAATTTCTGTTATATAAGTTGGACAATGGCTACACTTTTGAAGAAGTTTTTTAGTGATTAATTTATGTAATTTTAATAATTTTTCTAATGGTTATTGATTGTTTATTTAAATTATATTAATAATTCAATATTGAAATAATATAATAATTACAATTAATATTATTAATATTCTGTAGTTCTTTTTCAATAAATATATTATTCACCTATTATTATTCCTGTTAATCATAAGAATGTACTTAATTTTTCAAAATAAATATGCTATTAATTTACAATAGGCCAAGTATATAATTCATTTTATATTTAAGTTACTAAAGTAGATTGTCGCTTCCTCTTTAATGAAATCCAAGAATTTATGCGTTTTGTGGTCTCCTTACTTATCCATCCACCATAATTTTGGAAATTAAATGTTAATTTATATATATATTATCTTGCGAATATAAAATTTTATTTCATTTAGTTCTAATTTAAATCTCAATCCTAGAGATTTTCAAAATAAATAATTAAAAATGAAATCAAAGTCATAGAAAAAGCTCGTATGTGTAGAACCAATTGATGAAGCAAAAACATAAGAGCTGGTCGTTTATTATTGGAATTATGGATGGGGGAAACATATGAAGATCAATATTCAAATAGAAGTTAGTTAAGATAATTATATATTATATTATAAAGATGGAGCACTCTTAAAAAAGTAATTTATCAATTAGTTCTATATAGGGATGAGCATAAACCACAATATGAGATTATTAAAAATTGGTTTTAGATCTAAAATTTGCGTTTTATTGGCGATTACCAAAATTTCAAAAAATTTGGTAAATGGATTGCGATTTTCGATGGCATTGAATTAGGTGCTGGTTACTATGATAATGGATTAAAAATAGGATAATGGAAAGAATAGTGGAATAATTATTCAAAGTAAATTTTACTTTGTATTTAATAAAAGGTTAGCTTAAAAAATTGAAAAAGGCTAATATTCTGAGAATATAAAGATAGGAAAGTGGAATTATTTTTATAACAACAAATAGATGTATAATATTTACAAATTAATAGTGGTGGAGGATTATACGATTAAGAAGGAGTCAAAATTGGGAAATGGATTGATACTAATGAAAGATTTCAAGAATACTCATAAGTTACTTATGCTGGTGAATATAAATTTGGTAAAAAAGTTGGGATGTGGTATATATGGAAAAGATAACATGGAAATTCTTAAGAAAATAGGATTATGTAGATCAATATTTAAAATTAGTGGCTGTGGATTATATGTTGAAGGAATTAAAACAGGATTTTGGATTGAGATAAGTGATGGATATTCGAGCCGCTCTGAAATAACATATACAGGAAACTATAAGAATGGTTAAAAGGTTGGTAGGTGGGATATTTGGTTTAATAACAACGATAGTATATAAGGAAATACTAAAATGTAATTAGACATATTAATAATTCATAATATTTAGTGGTGGCGGATTCTATGATGAAAGAGGTGGAGAACTGAAAATGGGGTAATGGGTTGATGTAAGTGATGGATTTTCTACTATATCTTAAGTAACATTCAAAGGTGAATATAAAAATGGAAAGAAATTTGGTAAATGGGATATTTATCATGAAGAACAACAAAATGATATAATGTAATTATTTATTTATTAAAAAACCATCTTAGTGGTGGTGGGTTATATGATGAAGCAGGCCAAGGAAGTAAAATTGGGAAATGGATTGAAATTAGTGATGGGTTTACTAGTTTTTCTAAAGTAACTTATCAGGGTTAATACTAAAATGGCCAAAAAGTTGGTAAATGGGATATTTGGCATGACTACCAAGGAAATGACTAGATGTAACCATTTAGATTTATAATAATGTATTATATTAGTGGTGGAGGATTATATGATAAAACAGGCCAAGAGGTTAAAATTGGGAAATGGATAGAAATTAGCGATGGATTTGGGGATTATTCTTAAGTAACTTATGAGGGTTAATATAAAAATGGGAAAAAGTCTGGTAGGTGGAATATATGGTTTAGTTATTAAGGGAAACATAAAATGTAATAATCCAATTAACAATTACAATTAGTGGTGGAGGAACTTATGATAAAGCAGGGAAAGAGCTTAAAGTCGGGGAATGGATAGATGTCAGTGTTGAATATTCATCAGAGGCTTAAGTGACCTACAAAGGGAAATATAACTAAGGAATAAAAGTTGGTATGTGGGATATTTTTTATAAACAGGATGGATATGAATTTAAAACTAAAAATGAAAAGATGTAATTATAATTAACTTATTTTAAATAATTTCAAAGTGGGGGTGGAAAATATGATAAAGAAGGCTAAGGATTTAAAATTGGAAAATGGTTAGATATTAGTGATGAATTTAGAGAAGGAAATGAAATATTGTATTAAGGTGAATATCAAAGTGGCATAAAAGTAGGCAATTGGGATACACTGTTAAAATAAAGTAATTCCAAAGAGTAAAAGGAAAAAATGTAATTAAATATATTTATTCTCATAACTTCAATTTAGAGGTGGAGGATAGTATGAAGAGATTCAAGGATGTAAAATTGGGTAATGGGTTGAAATTTGTGATGAATATTGGTTGCATAAAGTAACTTATAAGGGCGAATATAGAAATGGGAAAAAAATCGGTAAGTGGATGAAAATTGAGATAAATAAAAAAAACTATAAGAAAGAAGAAAGAGAAGTTCAGTATGATAAATGAATATTATCAATAATATAAAACGAAATAATATGAATATTTAAATTTGCTAAATATTTTAATTAACTTAATAGCTTTTTTTATGATTGAATTTGATTTTTATTTTAATATTTAATTTGAACCTTGGAACCATGATTTAATTTTTAACCATTTTTATACTTATTTAATCTAGTTCAGAAAAATGATGTTTGATATATCTGATAGCTTAGAGAGATCTGCCTCTAAAGAAGCGCCATCTAAATTTATTCATTGGTTAAAGGAAATTGTTCCTTCATTTACATCCTTAAATTATCAGGTTAATAATAAATCTAATGTTAAAGATTATACTCCTTAAATATGATTTGTTATTTTATCGAAGCTTTCAAAATACTTGAATTTTCTTTTGATCATTTGAAATTAAATTCAGACATCTACTTAATTATTTAAGATGCTTAATACTGTTTTAAGTATCTACCAATCATTACAATTAATAAATTAACAACTAAATGTTCTTTCTACATTATTTTTGGTTTCGTTAATTATTAGGTGCTTAAATTTATTAAAAATCGCAAACAGATTAAAAATGATTCTGAAAATAATGATAAAAATTCAAAAGGGTACAAGAAAAATGATCAAAAAATTAACTTCTTTAACTTCAGAACCTTAATGAAATTCGTTATTTATGATGTTAAATTTAGACTTTTAAATCTAAGGTATTGATTTTCAGATTACTAAAATTTTGTTGGAGTGCTATTTAAAAATCAAGAATTATAGTAATTGTTCCGCTTTATTGGCTTTATATTAAAAAGTAGATTATTTTCACATAAAAACCATTTTATTGGTTTTTCGAAGAATTAAAATGTTTTTTTTAGCTGAGTATATAATTCAAATAGTATTTAGTTGCAAGTGTCAATGATAATTTTTTTAATTTCTCAATCGATATTTTACATCAAGTCTAACTGACTTCTTTATGCCCTCCCTTTTAATTTGCTAAACCATTCTTCAATTTTTTCAATCTTCCCGACGTGTTTCCTGTTGCTTCATGTAAATGCATAGGCACTCTTAATGTGCTCCAAATTCTACCTTTTCCATGTGTATGCATTTGAAAATATTCATATCCAACATTTTCCTTAATTTGAAAGTATATTTTTCAAATAAAACAAGATAATGGTCAAACTCAAATAGTTCCATTTAATAGGGTTGAACTAGAAATACAATCAAAAAATAGCAATCCAGGTCTATTACAATAATTAGCCATGATTTAAATTTAAGAGTTAATATTCTTAAATAAAATTTAAGTATTTTGTGACCTTTATTTATAATATTAGAATATAAGTAAATTTAGAGATATTTTTAGCATTCTTAGTCACGATAATTTAGCATGAAAGAAATTGCATAACCTTTATTGTTGCATAACCTTTATTGATTTCTCGAATTCACGCTGTAAAATCATCAGAAATTCGTTATTCTAATTTAAAGATGAAAAAATAAATATTAGACTTGAATGGATTGACTTTTCTGAAGGGACTTAATTCTTTACTTCATTATTAAACCTATTAAAAAATAGAAATTGGAAGTGTAAAAGTGGAGTTGTTTAAGGATCAGTTATGGCCATTGCTATTTAAGTGATATTTGAATTCCTTTGTAAGATTTCTTCTGAAAATTAATTAGTAGTTGACTGTTAAAGTCTATGCAGATGATCTAGTTTCTATAGTGTTGCAGAATAGTTTATCTGTTTATTTGATGAAACGAGTAGATTTTGGAACCTAAATTTAATACAGCAAAATCAGGAGTATTTCTATTTGGACATAATGAACGCAAACCAGAATATATAAAGGGTATATAATTAATGAAAAATTCTAACTATCTTGAAAATACTTTAACTGATAAAGCTTCAAGATTTAACTAGATTAGTAATAAAAGTAATAATTAATATTATTTTCAATTACCTTAAAAAGATTTTTTAAGAATTACCTTTTCGTCAATATATATAAACTCACATGAAGAAAACTGACATGTCAAAAAAACTGAGTTTAACAAGCAATAACATCAAAATAGAAGGGCTGAACAATTTATTTCTATTAAAGGACTGAAATTATTTTTCTCAAAATAAACTTGATCTTTTAAGATCAAAAAATATTTAGCAAATTTACTTTAATTTCGTTATTAATAATAAATAGAGGGCAAATTTGTAGCTTTATGCACCTTAAATCCAAATCTACTTTAGATAGTTTAGATAGGGATATAAAAGTAGTAATTCAAAAAAGAAGCAATATATTCTATTTAAAACAGATTGAGAATTGACAAAAATTTCTAAATAATAAATTTCATTTAATACTAGAATTTATGTTTCCAAACCTTGATGTGTAGGATTAATTTTGGCCGATCATAAATTCTAATTATGAGATAAAATGCAATTTGATTTTTCAAAAATTAGCCACTAATTTTAGAATTAAAGCAATAAGAATATTTTTATAATATTATTAGTAGAAGTTTACTTGAAGTTTGAAAATCCCATACATTTTCAATAGGTCTAGCGTTTGATATCCATAAATTGAAGTATCAAGATAATCATGAAAATGGATGTACTAAACTCCTAAATGCTTTTAAAATTTAATATTATCTTAATATTCATAATAGTTATTGCTTTGGATAATTAAGCTAAATACTAACTCGTAAAAGAAAACCCTTTAGTTATTTCTGCCAAATGCAAATTAAGCATCAAAATAAAATTTACAAGAGAATATTAAATGTAAATTTAAAGTGCATCAATTTACATTATATATTTGATATCTACAACATTTTCATTAAAAGATGAAATACTAAATTTAAAATAACATATTAGAGATTAGAGCTAATTTAAATACGTAAGAAGCTTACGTATTAGATAGAACATAATTTTGGATGAAGGAGAAATACTCTATTATAATTTAAAAAATCCTTCAATTAGATCAAAGTTAAAATTCAGTTTGATTTGTTGGTGGACTATCTGGAGAATATAGACATAAAATATGTACAATTTACGAAGAATGTTGAGCTTTCATGAATCCTGTATTTTGGATTTCAAATCAATTAATAGCAAGTCTGTATTTCAAGGTCCAATTTACTTCGCGAAAGATATACATCAAGGCTCTCCTAACATTGAGACAACGAGATACATATGTTAGTAGGTTGCAACAGCAATCATTTGATTTTAAGCCCAAGTACTTAGTCCAAGAGTCTCTAAATTCTTACGCTTACTATCATTTAGTAGTCTCTCAATCTACTCTTGTATTCATTAGCTAAATAAATGCATTTCTAATTGAAATGATTATGTTTTTGAAAAAGGTTGCTTTGACTTTACCTTCGTCGCAGTTAATGTGTATAATTAGTCTAATTTCAACATATTTATAGCTTGAAAGAATATTAGCTAGTTTAAATGCCAAAACCGCTATTATTTCTCTTTGCATATTATGATTCTGCGATCACAAGTAAATAGCAATACTGATTGCAAACTGAATTCATTACCCAAATCATTGTATATTTCCACAATATGCATCGATTATTTTTATTCCTATTATTATTCTTTATGCCAATAAAATTTGGAAATCTCATAATAATTTGCATCTTTATCAGTTTTTTGTATAGTTTCCAACAGCTCAAGTTTCTTACAACAGTTAAAACAAGTTAGAATTCTTATTATTACCCCAATAATTGATTTCTATTTTAAATTATTCTGCTTAACAATATGAATCAGACATTCAACCCTTGGCTACTTCATCAAGAAGATTAGGGTAATTAATTGATAGATATAACTAATTAGATTTTATATGCTCAAGAAAATTGGACTTTCATTTGTTCTCATGTTGTCTCTTTTGTGCTTTAAAAATCCTGTCAGAGCATGATCCTAACTTAGTTGGTTGATCACATTCACAGTTAAACTCAAATAAATACAATTTGATGAAAAAAGCTAAAATTAATCTTACTTAGAAATCGATTCTGTGATGTACTTACGACTTAATGATTATTATAACTAATCAATTAGCTTAGGTAGAACTGCACCAACTTACAATTGAGCATGCATCATAATTTCTTCATTACAATATTGTTTCAAGTTGACTTTATAGTGAAACAGAAATAGTATTTAAAGGAATATTGTCTTAACAAAAACTCCTAGCCATTTGTAGCCATGCCCTTTGCAAATTTGCATTCTCATAAATCTCAGCTACAACTTTTAATAACTTGCTAATAATTTTTTTGAAGAATATCTCCAGTTTAGATCCAAATATTTTGAATTAGTATCTAGTTACACAGATTAGGTTGATTCTGAGCGATAACACTATTTCGCATCGTCATCTTGCCCATAAGCAAATGCATATGTCATATTATTTTAGTGTTATACGTGGTCTCTAATAATAAGTACGCCCATTCCTATGTTATTGTAATTAACCTGATTTAAGGATTGATGGTATCAAGCATGATAAGATTTCAATTTTTAAATTAACATACTTTCAATAGTAAATTTCATAGAATGAGTTTAGATTTAGTAAATTAAATTACAGGAAGAATATTGAAATTAAATTTTGTAAACATAAAGAACGAGAAGAAAGTAATTTTGTAACACAATTTAAAGAGCAAGCTATCAATGATTGTTAAGAGATCTGAATTTTATTAAACCATTTTTTAAATATCTAAAAAATCAATTAGTTTAGAATTAGGTGCAAGTTAACAAATTTGAAGACTCAAAATAAATACAACATCATAGGAATAAACAAGATTGTGCAAGTTTTCAGAAAAACAACACTATAAAACCTGCTCCAACTTGAGCTAAATATAAACAATGCATGAAGTTATCGTTATATCACTCATCCAATACAGNTTACAACAGTTAAAACAAGTTAGAATTCTTATTATTACCCCAATAATTGATTTCTATTTTAAATTATTCTGCTTAACAATATGAATCAGACATTCAACCCTTGGCTACTTCATCAAGAAGATTAGGGTAATTAATTGATAGATATAACTAATTAGATTTTATATGCTCAAGAAAATTGGACTTTCATTTGTTCTCATGTTGTCTCTTTTGTGCTTTAAAAATCCTGTCAGAGCATGATCCTAACTTAGTTGGTTGATCACATTCACAGTTAAACTCAAATAAATACAATTTGATGAAAAAAGCTAAAATTAATCTTACTTAGAAATCGATTCTGTGATGTACTTACGACTTAATGATTATTATAACTAATCAATTAGCTTAGGTAGAACTGCACCAACTTACAATTGAGCATGCATCATAATTTCTTCATTACAATATTGTTTCAAGTTGACTTTATAGTGAAACAGAAATAGTATTTAAAGGAATATTGTCTTAACAAAAACTCCTAGCCATTTGTAGCCATGCCCTTTGCAAATTTGCATTCTCATAAATCTCAGCTACAACTTTTAATAACTTGCTAATAATTTTTTTGAAGAATATCTCCAGTTTAGATCCAAATATTTTGAATTAGTATCTAGTTACACAGATTAGGTTGATTCTGAGCGATAACACTATTTCGCATCGTCATCTTGCCCATAAGCAAATGCATATGTCATATTATTTTAGTGTTATACGTGGTCTCTAATAATAAGTACGCCCATTCCTATGTTATTGTAATTAACCTGATTTAAGGATTGATGGTATCAAGCATGATAAGATTTCAATTTTTAAATTAACATACTTTCAATAGTAAATTTCATAGAATGAGTTTAGATTTAGTAAATTAAATTACAGGAAGAATATTGAAATTAAATTTTGTAAACATAAAGAACGAGAAGAAAGTAATTTTGTAACACAATTTAAAGAGCAAGCTATCAATGATTGTTAAGAGATCTGAATTTTATTAAACCATTTTTTAAATATCTAAAAAATCAATTAGTTTAGAATTAGGTGCAAGTTAACAAATTTGAAGACTCAAAATAAATACAACATCATAGGAATAAACAAGATTGTGCAAGTTTTCAGAAAAACAACACTATAAAACCTGCTCCAACTTGAGCTAAATATAAACAATGCATGAAGTTATCGTTATATCACTCATCCAATACAGTTCATTTATTTATATTCTAAGTTGAGTTCATTAAATGTAGACTAAATAAGGAAGATTGAAATTCATATAAGATAGATAGGTGCTAGTATTATAGTAATAACTAAAGGAATGTTTTTTTAGATTTTTTCTCGTTTAATAGATTTAGATTTTTTCTATTGTACAGGTTAAACAAATTTTATTTCATAATTAAATTGGATTTAAACATATTTGATATCACAATCAGGAACTCTTGTTTAAGGCAACGATATATTAATAAACCAAGATATTTTTATATGGGTTATTATAATTCCTATGATGAATACTATTAATTTTATCGAATAATGCTAATAGTGCTAGACGAAGATCATGATTATATGTATCTCGTAGCTCAGTATATATAAAACTTTTAGAGTCTAAGTAATTTATAAAGAAAGTAAATAGAAATGCCTAAATATTTATGAATTAATAATTCATAGTTATTTATGAGAATAATCATAGAATTAGTATTCTGTAAAATTAAAGATTTATTCAAATTATTATCAGAAACTTTGATTTATACAATAACAATACAGTTGTCTACTTCGATGGGTCCACTTAAGAATTGTTTTTTTTTGGAGACCAGATTGAAATGTATACTCTATAAATACCTACTTTATTTTTGTATCAAATGAGATGAATGGTTCATGTGTTTTGAAATAGAAGGCAATTTTAAATTACGGAAATGCCAAACTCTGATTCATTATCTATAAGTTTTATATTCTAAGAATGCAATAAAATATAATATAATTGTTTTCTAATCGTAACAATAAACAATCAGACTCTCGATCTATCTCTAATAGTTTGCTTTCAAAAATAGACTTTAGTCCAACAAGCTTATTTATCAACTAAAAATATCAATCTCGAATCATAGACATAAACAATTAAAATAGTTTTATTATAGGTTTAATAACAGAGCAATTCCATTTTTATATTAATATCAATCAAAAATATGGTTTTTCTAATTTAGAATGTATAGGTTGTAAATAACCAATTAATTTTATCATATATATGTCAGTTGCGTAATTTGAGGTATGGAATGTCAAAAATTGAAGGAACCCTATTTTCAAAGAAATATGAGGGCCTTAATGATTGAGTTGAATAAAGATTCAATACTATACAACTCTGGCGATCAATTTTTTTACGTATAAATTGGCTTAATCATGCATTTATTTAATCCAATCTCATCCAGAACATTTAAGTATCTATTATCGATTATATATTGATGGCAATTAATTCACAAGCACAACAACGGACAATATTAGCCTTCTTTATTTTAATTAGAGCTTATTTTTGTTATCAACTGTTTTACTTCAAACATTTTATAATTTTAGTATCTATTCAGATTTCCTTTCTGAATAAATCTTTAATTTCACTATTTCCTCAAACCTTAATTAGCAGAGCAAAATTAATTCTTTAAACAATTCTATGACAATAATAAATAATTATGAATAGATTTAAATGAATCGTAATTTAAGTCAATCTTAGTCCCATATTTAAATCTTTAGAAATTATTTATCAGTTGATGGTTAATTCCTCTAATTCAAATGAGTAACAAAAGTAAAAATTATAATAATTACACATTGACAAACTATATCTAATATTTCAATTTAACTTATGATTATGCTAAATACAATTTAATTATTCAATATAATAATAGCTGGAATAGTTAATTTCTCCTGATGAATCATCATAGTATCTTAAATTATACAAATAAAGATAAATATTATTTTTGTCCCTACTAAAAATGTGTTGCCGCAACCGCCTATAATTCTTGTCTTTTTGCTTTATGTCAAGATACTCAATAAAATACTTAAATAATGAGAATTTATCAAATGCAGTTAACAATTCTATTTTAGAATCTAAAATAATAAAGAATTTAGCAAATCTAACCTTTAGTAATAATTCTTGAATTAGAATTACAAATAATCTGCTCTTTGTTTGGAATGACACAGTTTATCTGTATTATCTGAACTAGGATTAATAATCACAAGACTTAAAGCTGGGGGTGAATTTATTTGTAAAAGTACGTAATTTGGATTCTAGAGTATACAAATAGAAGAGAAAGATGGTGGTTAATACTAATTTATTATTATTTAAGCCTATTCATAAAGATTAATTATATTATAAATTTGCAAAAGTTAGAGAAAATTAAGCAATTGAACAAGCAAAAATAAAAATAAGTTTAAATTATGACTAATGGTTTTTGCTCCATTTATAATAGCCAAAATATACTATATTCTTTTTCTATTGTTAATTCAATATCTCTGTGACTCTATAGAACATCATATATTCTTATTAATTATTCTCATCAAATCTTCTGATTCAGCCTAAATATACATCACTATTTGAGTTTATAATCTAGAGAATGCTATCTTTATGGATACACTATGCAAACTTCATAGAGAAAATTTGAACTCAATTTTTCAATTGAAATAATATCATTGTAAAAGTGGAAAAAGAGTATTGTATTCTTGCATTACAGAAAAAAATGAGGCTGGAATTCAATATAACATTTTGATAAATTAAATCGATGGTTTAACTGTTAGTTCAGTATAACAAGTTATTAGATTTAATAGAAACAGTCTATAAGGTGATAAGGTTATGAAAGAGTTACTTTTCAAACCTCAATGAATTATTCTTCATTTAATATATAATAATTTTTATTTCAGATTTCAATAAGTATTACGTAAATACTTTAAAAGATGAAAAATATCTAGGCAATCTAATAATCATAAAATATGATTTAAAAAACTAGCTTGTCGAGATTTGCTTATGAATTAGTAGAAAACAAATCAATTCGATAATATAATTTCTGTTGTTCCATTAACATTAATCATGAAAAGACCTTGTTAATAGCCTCAGCAAAATCTACAATTAATGTTTACATATTTAAAATGGGAAGTGTTAAATTACTCGCGAACATGGGAGGAGATAAGAGTTATATACAAGCCCTTAAATTTGTAGATAAGTCACAACATTTTTTATCAGGATCTCATAATGGATCTATTATTGTTTGGTCAAAATACTTATTTGCTAATCCAAAATACATATAACAAATTAAAACTCATTAAAGCTCGATAGTTGCATTGATTCTTCATCCAATTTATGAAAACTAATTTATATCTGCTTCCAGTGGTTTTATTGAATTTTTCTAATACTCAAATCATAGACAATGGTTTAGCGTTGATAAAATATCTGAAATTGGTTAAATTTTTGGAATGTCTATCAACAAGAATGGAACTTAAATTGTTACTTGTAGCGAAAATCATCGAATATAAGTCTTTGAATATCAGCAATCATTTTTACAGTAAAAAAATACTTCATCTTGGCTGCTAAAATAAACAATCAATATTAAATAATAGGGTTTTAGAGTTTGCTTTTTAGATAATGATACATTTGTTTTTTAACCTGCAACACAACTTTGGAATGGAACAAAACATATGAATTTATATAGATTAAATCAGTAAAATTAATACATAAAATAAAATGCAATACCTGTCAAAGGAGGTGGTTAACTTTGTGGGTAAATTTTTCCTTCCTTGTATAATTTATCTAAATAAATACTTCTAATGAAGAATGGAAAATATATTAACATATTTAAATATGTTGATAGATCTTTTAAGTTAAGGTATAAAGAAGTGTTATCCTTTGGGACATCGGAAGTGTCTGGTACTCTAAGTGATGATGGAGAATACTTAATTACTTGGGACAAAAAATCAAGATAGATTTAAGTAAGAATGTACACTGACTTAAATGCAAATAAATAGTAGGAATGAATGAAAAATTGAAATTTATAACAACATTGTTATTCTGAAATTGATATTATGCAAAAATTTTATTCCTTACCTTATATGTAGGTTTTTGAATTGAAAGAATTCCATAAAGTAATGTTGCGCGCATGAAATAAAGTTTCATCTTCATTAATATAGAAACTTCAAATCAGATAAAATTTAATATTATCATTATAATGGATTTTCATTATTGAGACTATCTTACATTAAAGAGTTTTACTATTAAGAATAATTTTTTTAGATCAAATTTCATTTTTAATCATTTAAATAGACAGTACTGTTTTTTTTTTCTTACTTTACTGTTATCTCCAATATTTTTTTAATGTTATTAATATTATAACTCATTATTTATTTCGCTTTAAATTAATCCAATATCTTTTTTATTAGTTGTTAAGGCTTACAAGTTACCTATTTCTTTTTATTCTCCTCTTGGGTTGTATTTTATGAATTTTCTCTACTTTTATAGACATTTGTATTCTTTATTAAACAGTTGACATAAAAAAAATGCCATTTCTTTTTCTAAAAAATAAGGTATTTATTAATTTCAAATTACTAAAAATACATTTATTAATAAATACTATATGCCTTGTAATGAAAAATTCGAAAGTCTATAGGAGGTACTATAAAAATATAGCAATGATTAAGAGAGATATAATGTAAAACATTGATCAACCATTCTCCATCTGGAAGTTTTTCAGAATTACATTCTAATTCTGCGTCTTGTTCTGTTATTATGACACAATACTAGGTGAGATCAATTCTCGTGGCTCCTTTTGTCAAATATGCAAGTTAAATTTATGTTTATTGACAATTAAATGACTCCAGTAAGTGTTCGCAGGTGATATAAAGAGAACTAAATTTTGGTTGGTAGCACACTTTTAAATTCAAACCTATCTATCCAGATTTAAGGGAACCAAATTTTCTTTTACCTCCTCTTTTCTTATTCCTTAAACCTAAAAATAATAATTTTTTTACAAATTATATAGATAGAATAGAGATGTAACTGTTTGACATTTACATCCATGCCCCTAGAAAATCAATGTATTTGTTAAAATATTTTTCGAACTCAAATTACAAAATATTATATAATGACATCATCCATTTGAAAATTTGAAAGACATTAACATAAAAAATATATTTTCTGATTTCTTTAAAAAATTGATAATTGAATAAATAAAGTGATAATATCACAAGAATAAGCATTTCATCAACGTTAAATTTCTTAATCTCGAAGTTAGTATTTAAATAGGCTGGGGTGGTGTATAAATAGGTTCATTGAAGAATTCCTAGAAACTTTTTAAATTCAAGACAGAATTAACTTTAGGAATATTGCACCTAATTATTCAAAATATAACACTATTTTATATCGATGAAGCTATTTTCCTAAGTAATAAACTCATAACCCAAATTTTAATAAACTAAGGACTTAATCAAATTTAGAAGGTTAATGAACACCAAAAAACATCTAAATGGGGGTATTGGTAATAAAGGGTTTTAGTTTTTTCAAATTTTAACAGGCTATGGTATTTTGTTTGCATTTGGATACTTTTTAGAAGAACAAATTGTCTTTGCTAGATCATAAGATAAAGATTACAACTTTTCTATTTTATTAGATAATAGCCAGATACATTAGAGCAAATTAATCAAAGAGCAGATATTATAATTTGTTTATAGCTCCATATTCTCTTGAATTAAAACCAATAGAGAAAGTGTTAAAGTTGTTAAAAAATCATTTCAATAAAAATAACCTTGCAATAAATTATTTGTGATTAAAAAATTCATTATTTGTTAAAACGAAATTTTAGGTGGTATAAAATACAAATTAATTAATTCAGTACATATTTCAAAACTCATATTTAGGAACGATTTATTTAAATACGGAGTAATGGCATTAAATTGTAATTAAAATTCCTGAAAGTAAGTTAAAAAATTAATGAACAGACTTATGAATTACTTTGACTTATGATTTTCTATATACTAATATCAACATTTTTAAGATTTTTACTTAAGTTCAAGATCAACTTAGCCCAAAAATAAAAAGTTGAATTATTTAACTTATTAATATTTTCTAGTAACTAATTTGTCAATCTGTAATTACATTAAAATATTGTCTCATTAAAGTTCAAAACCTCACATGAGGCAAAAGGGATCCATTTGATTTCATTCCTGAAACATTTTTAATTGATTTTATTCCAGTAAAAAAATTTGATTAAACATATTTCATTTTTTCAATTTGAATTCAATAGTCACATTTGATAGTGTTGTTATTAAGTTGGCAGCTCTTGAGTATGTGGTGTATCCATTTATTTCAGAATTTGTACACAATATCTAAGGTTTTATCCCAATTCTCGTTTTACCAAAATAATTGGGTTCAAATTCAGTTTTCTCTTTTTTTCTCAATTTTAAGTATAAACATGTTCTATTTTCATTATAATCATTGCCTTTGATAATGATTAGATTTTTCAATCACACCTTCTTATGTAAAAACCAAAGTCTTTGTTTTTATTAACTAAAAGGCTATAAAAAGTATGCATGCAATTACACAATATAGGAATCTTAGAATTTTTGTGAAGAAATAAACTCCCTAAGCTCTATTATTTATTCAGCTAAAATATAGTTCTGAGATACAAGTAATTGTATATGGAGTTGAAACATCATGGACATACACAAAATTGATTATTATTCATTAATTGAGGATAAGTATTGCCTTAAAGAATTGGTTGATTCCAATCATTACAGAAAAGATCAGTTTAGCACAATCATAGGAAAAGCCCTATAATGAACTTAATTCCTTAAGATACCCTTCTAATAAAGTGAAAAAAATAAAGGAATGGAACACAACTTCAATTCTTAAAACAAATTAACTATATTAAATTATTCAAGGAGAAAGATAATATAGAGGTTTCAGCTTATATAAGTTGCTGATAAATAAAAAGTAAAAATGAAAAGATCACCCTTTAAAATGATGCTCTAAAAGAATTTTTTTTGTTTTCATTTCTTTTTGATGTGCTCACACATCTTAATAAAAGGAAATTATAGAATTTCATTATAATTCACTAAAATAGCTTTACTGAGCTATTCAAATCTAAATTTCCAAATAAATACAAAAAATGACCTTCAAGAAATTGCAGTGATAATTAAAAATAATCTCAATTTAAACTTAAAAAATATTTTAAATATAAATATAAATATATGAAAATGAATTAATAAATTAATATTAACAATCAAAAAGAAGGGTGTAAATCTATTATAAAAATGTAAATAACCAATAAATTAGAATATCGTATTTAATTAAAATACATTTTTATTAAACATATAAGTTTAAAGATTAAATTCGATAGATAAAAATATAAGAAATAAATTAGATAAAATTTTTTAATTTATA